CGTTGCCGCTTTGAGCCCTCCCTCATCTTGGAGGGCTCGGACGAATCAGAACGACTGACACTGGAGGCGCCGCCGAGGGCTCAGACGGAGCGGGTGACCTATTTCTGTTGGCTCTAGGGCCGTCGTAGAAGGCCCAAACGAGGCGAGGCAGCCTAATTCCACCAGTTCTGAGGTCGCCGTCGAAGGACCGGACGGGGCGGGGCGTTTTGATTCTGCCAGCTCTGGGGATGCGTCCTCCCCCTCCTGCCCCATGGCATGCTGTAGGAAGGGCCCCGCCGGTGGTGAAGGCGGGTCCTTGTCCTCGGCGGCTAGATCGTCCCACGGGATGGGCGACATGGAGCCATCATCCTCCTCCTCCTCCCCTTCTTCTTCTTCCCCCTCTTCTTCCGACGAACCTTGATGCTGCTTCCCTCGCTGTAGCTTTGCTCGCTGCTTCGATCGCCATTTCCTCTCCTCATTGTCCTTCTTCTTCCTTTGTTCATCCGTGGCACGGTTTGCTGCTCTCACGACCGCGTGCTTTGGCAACGGCACGACAGAGTCCCAGAAGACTAACCCCGCTGACAACTTGATGAAGCCTGTGTCTAGCCACATCATGGGATGCCCCAGGATTGGGAAGATGATGTCGCCCTCCCCCATGTCCTCCTTGATGCACTGCATGACCTTGCTGTCATGGAGCAGCCCTTGGGTGAGCATCATCCCGACGAGCTATGCGCCAGGCGTCATCCTATACAGCGGGAGGATGCACGACATCAGCGGCGCCACCCTCCACGCGTGATACCCCCCGATGACGCCAGTCCTGCGGATGTCGTGGGTCTTTAGGAACGCGATGGCCTCGAGGAGGTCACGCATCCTCTTCTTCTCCATGACGGGTGGCCCCCACAGCCATGACGGCGGTACCTCTTCGACCAGGCGCCCGGAGAAGACCGGCAAGGGAGCGGTAGGGTCGTCCGTCAGGTAGAACCAATGCGAGTGCCACCCCTTGTTGGATCTGAAGAGCTAGCAGGGCATGTACTCGGCCACCTGCTGCCCCTAGAGGTGGATGCCCTAGCTGTTCATATGCTGTAGTTCCTCGGCAAAGGCCATTGATTTCTTTTCTTTCATCAAAATCAAATGAAAGCAAAGAACCTAAGGAGATACGATTCCTATGCATTGGGAAGAAGTTGTTCGCCAAAGCACAGTAGGATTGTGATAATGTCATCTCCACTTTAATACTAATAAGAGGATTAGCCCGTGCATCCCATTGGCACTGGGGTCTCCCAGCCTCTCTCCTTCTTCTTAATCAAGGAGATGGAGAAGAAATATCTCCACAGCTTGAAGTAGGGCTCGATCCCCAAGTACCCCTCGCACATCGCGATGAAGGCCGCGATGTGCTAGATCCCGTTAGGGTTCAAGTGTTGTAGCTCGATCTGATAGTGGTGCACCAGACCCTGAAAAAACGGGTGGTGAGGAACCGTGAATCCGCGCTCGTGGAAGGGCGCGAAGGAGACGACGTAGCCGTCGGGTGGCGCCGACGCATCCTCACGGCCGAGCACAAGCCACTCCACCGCATCGGTCCTTCCACGGAGAAAACCCTGCTTGACAAGGCCCTCCATGCGCGCATGGGTAACATCAAAGCTCAACCTGGGCATTCGGTTAACCGAAACCGATCGGTTCGGTTCCTCGGTTCTTTATAAAATTCGGTTAGTAGAAAATTGGTAATTGATCGGTTAGTAAGAAAACTAGAAACCAAGGAATTTCGGATTCGGTTAGATTGGTTCGGTGTCGGTTAGAACCAATCTAACCGAGCCATCCATTACAACAGCGAAATAGAAGAAAAAAATCGTGAAAAAACACGGCAGCAGTCGCCCCTTCTCCAGATCCGGCACTCCTCAGCCCTCGCCGGTAGCAGAGGCAGCAGAGGACTCCAGGCAGGAGCAGGCTACGATGGAGGGCTCCAATCCAACAGGAGAAGGCAGGCACAGGCGGCGGTGGAGGGCTCCATACAGGCAAAGCTAGAGGGCCCCACGACCTGCACAAGCAGCGAGTGGCAGTGCCTCGGCCACCAGTCCAGGCCCCCTGCCGGCAGCGAGTGGCAGCGGTTCAGTTCCTCAGCCTCCCCATCGATCTGCCCCTTGCTCCTCGGCTCGATTCGTCACAAGCTCGTGATGGGAGCGAAGGAGCAGAGCAGCGTAGTGGGGCATCGTTGCGCTGTCGCTGCGGGCACGGAGCAGAAGGAGCAGGGATAGCCGGATAGAGCTAGGAGTAGGGAAGGAGAAGGGTTGTGCGGTAGATTGGGAGGGAGCTGGTGGGCCTCTGGTGGCGGCCGGAAGGGACTGAGGGAAGACTGACCTGTGGAGTAAAGTTGATTAGGGTTTGGAGAGGTTATATATATACCAAGGTCTATTGGGCTAGGCTTTTCTTTCTGATTACTGGGCCTCATCGGTTACTTCGGTTCTTTCGGTTAACCGAGCCCAAGAACTGAATTAACCTGACTTATTTTGGTTACTTAAAACTAGGAACCGAACTAGGAACCGAAATATTCAGTTTCGGTTAATTCGGTTTCGGTTCCGGTTATTTCGGTTCGGTTCTCGGTTCTCAGTTATTTTTGCCCAGGGTTAATCAAAGCGGTACCACGAATCCATGGAGGATGGAGGCGGCTACGAAAAAGCAAAGGCGGTGGCGGAGAAACGGAAGCTACAGATCTAGGGCTCCGACGGCGGATTAGCAAGCACGACAGATCCGAATGGCAGCGGTGGGGAAACGGAGAAGGCAAGGTTGTGGTTTTGGTGTGTAGAAACGTGAAGGGGGAGGCCGCTATTTATAGGACGGAGCGGGGCAAGAAGGCGAACGGTCCCCCTAGGTTCACGCGCCCGTTGCGCCACGTCACATCACCTCCCTACGAACATTATGCGCACGCTATCTCTGGCCGCACCCTCAAAGGACACACCGGATGATGGTTCTATTGGTCGATGGGCCAAGAACCATCGCAGGTAAGGAGGCATACAGAGCTGAAAACGCTCCTACGGCCCATTCAAAACCAGGAGTTCGAAGGCTGGCCTGCCAACGAGTTCAGAGCCACTTCGGGGCATCCTTAGAGAGAGGGGTGGAAAGGGATGGGCCCACTAACGCCCAGTACCCGGGTGCACGAGCGCCGTGGGCATCCTGGCCCATGTTTGAGTCTTGGTCGGTTTCCAGTCCACGGTTTTTCCTCGAAGAAAGGCAACGAGCCCTTGGGGATCAGCCGAATGGACCCAAGAACTATAGGGATTGGCCGCCAAGAGTCTAGAGTCGGTCACCAGCTGACCCATGCCGGACCCCCGCGAACGGGGAGCCGGGGCCCCACTCGGACTAGCCCATTAACAGCTCATCGAACACCATGTTTTGTCCATCAAGGAAAAACGTAGCACTGCTCAACCCCTCTGTTTTATCGAAAAAAACGCTTGAGGGATGACGATCACAAAGACGAGTCGACCCTTGACCGGACCCCTGCTATGCGTGGGGGCTCGAGGGAAGTTGGACTCGCAAGGAGACCGAACGCGCGGTCGCAGTACGACGGCGGACCGATCGGATCCTAGGGGACCGGAGAACAATCTTTCCGACCTCCGGAATCCTACAGTTACATGCCCCCAAGAAGACCGATCATAACAAAAGGGAATCGCTATCCTACCAGGACACGCCGCGGGCTACAAAAAGAAGGCCAAAGCCATTAGAGTTCTCCCGTCCGGAAAAGCCTTCAAAGGAGTATCCTACTCCTCTGCATGCTCGGGGGCTACTGTTGGACATCGATATTAGGGATACCCAAAGCAAGGAAGTTAGCGCTCACATTGACTTCCCCGGATGGCTCGAGACGTATTAAGAGGTCTCGCCCGACACTAAGGCTGCAGGCTCCGTCTTGCCCGACCTCAAGGCCGCGGACTCCTTCTCGCCCGACCCCTTGGCCGCGGGCTCCTTCTCGCTCGACCCCAAGGTCGCGGGCTCCGTCTCGCCAGACCTCAAGGCCGCAGGCTCCGTCTCGCCCGACCTCAAGGCCACGGGCTCCTCTCGCCCGACCCCTTGGGTGCGGGTTCCGCCTCGCCCGACCCCTTAGGTGCGGGCTCCGCCTCGCCCGACCCCAAGGACGCGGGCTCCGTCTCACTTGACCTCGAGGGCACGATTTTCGTCTCATCTGACGTGGACCCATACCGCCGCCAACCACTCCAGGTCCAAGCGTATGGGCCTGGGTCAAAACTCTGACGCCAGGGAAGAGGCTGGCACGCCTCGATGTAACATGTGGCCATGACGTGCCGGTGCTGTTCAGCCTAATCCTCGTACGGACACTGACAGACGCGTCAGTTCACCACGACGTCCGCCGGGACGGAGTGGAACGCCATGACCGGCAGATGACGCTTGCGCATGGCGCCAGTGACGAACAGGGCCGCGACATGGAGCCGTCCCTGTTGACATCTATAGGATCAGTGGGACCCGCATGAAGGAGAAGAAGGACCCGACAACCCTGGAAGCCTTCTTCTCTCTTTCGTTCTTTTACTTTTCCTCCTCTGTAACCCGCGCTTTCCCTTCGTCTATAAAAGGGGAAGTATGGCGCCCCAACGAGGGGGCGGGGAAAAAAGACGAGATCGAAACACAAGAGCACGACACAAGTACACGGCTGAGCGGCAATCGAGCTCTCAGCACCCGTTCACTCCTTCCACCAGAGACTTGAGATCCTCTTCCTCTCTCGCCTGTTTGTAACCCATACTGCAAACCAAGTGCCGGTAACACGAGAAGCAGCGAACTGGACGTAGGGACGTTCCGTCCGAACCAGTGTAAACCCTTGTGTTCTCCGAGCACACCATCCGGGTCAGACGCGCAAATACAAATTTACTCGTCGGTGGTCCGAAAACACCGACAAATATGCACTTAGGCAAAATTTTGTTCGAGAAACAGTGATAATTTGCTAGAAAATCCAATGTTACTCTATGCCTTGCTATTTGTGACGGCTACTTGCAATGTCTCCATGCTGATTGCATTTACTTGAGACATTGATGCAGGAAGCAGCAGTCGACGCTGACCGGGTGTATCTGGCTGCAATTGATAAGTTCGATGCCATGTTGTCGAGAAGCAACACTTATGCTCCAGAAGGTTATGTGACAACAATGCTCTGTTGTTAGCCATGTTTGGTGGTTTTGGTTGGATATATTTGCTGATGCGGAACTGTTATGGCACTGCAGCTCTCTACAGATGGGGCACTGCACTGCAGCAGCGGTCCTATCTGCGGCCTCTGAACAGCAGGGATAAGGTGAGGCTTCTGGAGCAGGCGAAGAGCTTGTTCGAAGATGTGCTATATGTGGAAGCAGACAACAAGATGGTGAAGGAGGCGCTGTCATCGTGCATATCAGAGCTCAACTACCATGGCCGATGGTTATAGACAGTTGTTTGCTTTGGCGGAGCAGCTGCGGGCCTATATGAGCTACCTATCAGGAATCATGATTGCCGGATGAATCAATATAAGCAGCTAGGATGTGATTTACAGGACAGTAGTTTCCTCTCTCTTTTGCTTGTAGCAACTCAAGCGAGGAGAGAAACGTAAGCTCAGTTTAGTTAGGGGGGTGTTTGGTTCTCTAGTCGTTTCTAAAATTTATATCACATCAAATGTTTAGAGGTTGATAAGGAACATTAAATATAAATTAATTATAAAATCAATTATATAGATGGAGGATAATTTTCGAGATGAATTTTTAAGCCTAATTAATCTATCATTAACATATGTTTACTGTAGCAACACATTATCAAATCATGGATTAATTAGGCTTAAAAGATTTGTCTCGTAAATTAGTCGCAAGTTGTGTAATTAGTTTCGTAATTAATCTATATTTAATACTCCATGCATGTGTCTAAACATTCGATGTGACATGAATTTTAGGAGGCAGGGAAGGAACCAAACAGGCCCTTAGTCCTACGATACAATGCAATATGACTTTTTGTATGGAATGTGTGGTTGAATCGAATACATAATACAAATGAATAAAATGTGCCTTCAATTTTGAGCTGAAAGATGCGTGCATGATGTGACATGGTTGGTTTCCAGTTAAAAAGCGGGTACATTAGAACGGTAGAACCTGAAGTGAGATGGCAAGACTTCTCAAAAAAAAATGATGATGACAAATATGGCAAACATCTTTTCACAAAGGGAAATAATGCAACATCTGTCCCATGCATTGCAAGATGTTTTGGTTTTTCTCTTTTCATGTTTGCAACAGGTGGTATTAGTAACAACGACAGCAATTATTAGCAAATTCTTTTAAAAAAAACTTAGACAAGTCCTGTATGCAATCTCAGTCTATGTTCACGTTTCCAACTTTTGATTCAGGCTGCATTCGTGAGTCGTGTGACATGCTCCACTCCTTGTCTCAGTAGATGGCGAGCAAATTGCCTGTGGGTGGGCTACAAGAACCTCTCGACCGTTGTTGCCAGCGTGGTGTCGGTGACAGCCCCGATCACCGTCTCCTTCCTCTCCCCGTTCTTGAAAATCAAGATGGTGGGGATGCTTCTGATGCCGTACCTTGTAGCCACTTCCTGGTTCTTGTCAGTGTTGAGCTTGAGGCACCGCAGCCTGCCGGTATATGCTTTCGCCACGTCTGCGATGATAGGGTGCATCATACGGCAAGGGCCGCACCATGGTGCCCAGAACTCGACGAGCACTGGAGACTCGCAGCGAAGGACGAGGTCATCCCAGGTCGACTCTGCTACATCCAGCACTGTAAAAAGGAAGAATGGTTAGCCATGTCAAGTCTCAGTCATCACAGCAGCCAAACGATTTGCGTTGAATGCAAACTGAATTCGTAGTGGGCGTGACAAATAAAGGCACCATAAGAGAAGCAGGTTGTGGGAACACATGCGGATTCATACACCACAAGGGCACAGGAAGCCATCCCCCCATCTGGACATCACCGAAACAACCAAGACAAGGACGCAATCACATGATATTCGTGAGAACCTCTCTAACAAGGTTTGTTTACCATGTGATGGGCTACCTGAAAGGTGTGCTAATGCTGCACTATATATACTGAATGCTCAGGAAATGGCAAGAGACACCGCGACCGCGAATGTCATGAAATGCAACCATAGATGTCAAGACTCTGCAGGAACGCACCTGATGTATTGCTTAAGCCGCAGAACAATACTTTTATTATTTTTATAATGAATGGGAAGAGCAGCAAATTAAAGGAAAAGGACCCTGCTGCTGCTGCATGTTAAAATGTAATGTACCTCTAGAACACACACTCACTCAATAGAGGAAAAGGAAGAATAAACACAGTTAGTCTAGTTTATGAATAGAGTAGGGAAAAGCAGCATTGTAGAGTAAGTAATTCAATTCATAAGCAGGCAGCTGCTAATGTAGTAGTAGTCCTTATCACGCAACGATTACCGCTGAAATAGTAATAGGTACTAGTAGCTGATAGTGATTGATAAACTAAGCACAGCAATCTGCAGTAGCCAGTAGGGAAAGGCGTGAACTGAAAATCGTTTCCCCTCGTTAATGATCTTACACTCCAAGTAGCCGCGGCGGCGGTCCAATGATCCAATTCGATTCAATTAGAGTTGAAAGGATCAGATCGGTTTGGTAGGAAAATGAAAATCTGACCAAGGGGATTCATAGGTCTTGAGCCGTTAGCTGTTGCTGCAGCAAGGAGGAGCACGGGATCCGGGGTCCAGAGAGATAGTTACCGAGTTGGTCGTCGATGGCGGCGGAGGCCTTGCTGTCACCCTCCTCCTCGTGAGCCTTGGCCTTGCAGCGGACGGACGCGGAGGCGGCGACGGCGACTGATAGCTGCGGTGTGGGACGGAAGCGGAAGGAGGCGGCAGTGCGGGAATGACGCGGCCGCCTGGTGCCGAGGGTAGCGGTAGCGGCGGCGATAGTCTCGGTGCCGATGGCCATGGGAGGCAAAGGGAAGGAAAGGTACTAGCGACGAAGGTTAAAGAAATCCGCTACCAAAACTCCAAAGTACGTATTCCTCTAGGACTAAGGAGAAATGGGCGTATTAATTAATAGGAGTACTTACTAATATAAAATAATCTCAAGCAGGGCGTTTGGTCTAGTGGTATGATTCTCGCTTTGGGTGCGAGAGGTCGCGAGTTCGATTCTCGCAACGCCCCTTAATCTGTTTTTTTCTCATTTATTTTCTTTTACTTATTAAAATCTTGTTTTTTCCTCTCATTTACTTTTACTTTATAAAAATTGTACAGATTTCAGAATAAGAAGTCAGGATCAAATTAATTTTAGTGTTCACGACTAACATAAATTTAATATAAATTGCACAGATTTCAGAATATGACCGTCAAAATCAAATTAATTTTAATGTTCTTGACTAACATAAATTTAATCTAAACTGTACAGATTTTAGAATAAGACCGTCAAGATTAAATTAATCTTAGTCTGCATAACTAACATAAATTTCTGAAACAGACCGTCGAGAGTAACTACTTTACTTTTATTTTTGTTAATATTAAAATTAAATACTTCAAAATAAGACCGTCATTTCCTTTTAAAATGTACAAATGTGAGAATAAGGCCGTCAAGACTAGATTAGATTTGGTGTGCATAAATAGCATGAATTCAGAAATAGACGGTTAATATTAAACTAATTTCGAAATCAGACGCTGAACTAAATTTGGAATCGGATATCATCGGTTCAGCGATTTCTAGATTTTGTCCTAAACTAATCATTTTTAGTTTGACGAAACCTATTTCTTTATCTTTATCTTTATCTTTATCTTTATTTTTACATAATATTAAAGTAAAGAATATTTCTCGTTCTATCGCTTCTACAAACGTCCATCTCAGCCCACAATGCCGCCTCCTTCCCGACCTGTTCCTCATGTTTGCTGCTACTCTGTTCGCTACACCTCTGTTCTCAAATATCGCCACAATCGTTTAGGCTGGTTTGATTTATAAGTCATATTTTTTTAAGTCAACGAATAGTATTTTTCTCCTACACTAAATTAGTCAACAGTATTTTTAGTCATGACTTATCAGCCAAACAAGACCAAACGAACATGGCGTATATGTCTTGTTCATTTATCTTATAATCCGTCTTTTTCAACTTGTTTTTTCAGCCGGAACAACGTTTTTCTCTCACAACAAATCAGCCAGAACAGTATTTCGGCTTTGGTTTTTTTTCAGCGAAGCGAACGGAACCATAGATATAGAGAAACATATTAACTCATACCACATCAGAAAAGATAAGTTATAAAATAGATTTTATAATGTTTCTAATTAACAGAGCTTTTATGGTGTTAAAATGTTATTATTTATTTGACTTAGGATAAACCAAAATATACTATATTTTAGGAGAAAAGGAATAATTGCAGGATCGCTGTTGCAAGCCATCCACCACCTGGCCCATCGTTCTCGTCCCCATGAGGAGCCGGTTTCTCCATGCAACCTACTATGTCTCCTCCTGACCGTGCACTACCATATCACCCGTTTAGGCCTTCTTTGGTAAAGCTCCCACCGTTTGACACGCGCAATGTTTGTGTACTGTTTACGCATTGTTCATGTCGGCCCTCATTTTGAGAATCCTAGGTGCATCTGTACTTGCGCCAGAGTACGCACAAGATAACAAAAATGGCACACAGATATATGATAAAATACCAAACTTTTCTTGATATATAGAAATAAGGTCTCACAATGGTGGCCTAAATGGCATAGCCGTAGGCTCTACATATCTAGCGGGGTACTACTGCCGTGAAGCGGCATTTTATTACAGCAGGGTGTTAGCTACTATAGCGGTATTTTACAGCGCAGCGACAGTTCATATGAGCTTTTTTCCTATCTCTCATCTCTCGTTTTCTCGCAGAGCCGGTGGAGCTAGGTTTTTTTGGCTCCCACTGTTCTAGCTATAGTAGAGAACAGTCTAGGAGCCGGAGCACTTGGGATCAGGGGCCTTACTCGCGTTGCTAGAGTGTGGAATCGACTTTTACATTGGCTCTATGCCACTACAATGGTATGACATCTTTGTGCCCCGTCATCAATCTAGTTTTGCAGGAGAAAAAAACGGTTTAATGTGGATCCCCCTCTGACTTGACTCCTAGTATTATAGTTTTTTTTTCGCACCATCCGTCGTTTGATATGTGTTTTGCGGAGGAAAAAGGATGTTTGGAAATATATATATATATATATATATATATATAGTTTTACTTTTGACCCTTAACAATGCATGTATAAGTTTGCTAGTAAAAGAATAATAACATTTATGCTATCACATTAGTAGTGTATAGGATTCACCATACTTATATTTTCAGTTTACTTTTTTATGCTTTGGACACTTTATAATCTTCAAAGTGATTTAGTTTAAGCTTAATCCATATCTTTTCTCTATACTTATATAATATTAATTAAAGAGCTAAAATTTTATCCTTTTTTTTTGTCTAACTTCCCCTAACTACTCTATCTAGGAGGCGGAGCACTTGGGATCAGGGGCCTTACTCCGCGTTGCCAGAGTATGGAATCGACTTTTACATTGGCTCTATGCCGCTACAATGGTATGACATCTTTGTACCCCCGTCGTCGATCTAGTTTTGCAGGAGAAAAAAGCAGTTTAATGTGGATCCTCCTCTGACTTGACTCCTAGTATTATAGTTTTTTCGCACCATCTGTCGTTTGATATGCGTTTTGAAGAGGAAAAAGGATGTTTGGAGAAGTAAATATATATCTATATTGATATATTGTTTTACTTTTGACCCTTAACAATGCACTCATAAGTTTGCTAGTAAAAGAATAATAACATTTATGCTATCACATTAGTAGTGTATAGGATTCACCATACTTATATTTCAGTCTTCTTTTTTATGCTTTAGACACTTTATAGTCTTCAAAGTGATTTAGTTTAAGCTTAATCTATATCTTTTCTCTATACTTATATAATATTAAAGAGTCAAAATTTTATCCAAATTTTTCCGTCTAACTTCCCCTAACTACTCTATACTTATATAATATTGCAGAGGAAAATGTGATATTTCGGAAACTGATGAAAAAACTCAATAAACATGCTACCAATTTTTTTAGCTACTTGAAAACTATAAGATATTTTGGCAATTCTAGATACATAGATTTTATTATACTAGATAAATACACGTGCGTTGCACGGAAACATAACAATGATATCGTAATTTAAGTATGAACGTATGTTGTATTTATTTTAAAAATAGTATGAATATGTTAAAAAAAGTAATTTTGTGTAGCAATTAGGAGATTGGGAGGAGCGGCGACGGATGCTGTGATGATCCTGTACACCCCCTATGTGCCTTTTGAATAATTATTAAATTGATGAGCCTAGCCTGCATGTGTATTTGGAATTATAAATAAATGTGAGGCTGCCGACCGTCCCGACGAGGCTGTTGAGTGCTGACCGTTTCAGATGTGAAGTCGTGAACTGTGCAGAATTGGCTCTGACGTGGACTCCGTAGAACTGGACCCGATTTTGGATTTCAGACTCGATGCGGCCAGATAGTGTACGTATTTGGCTGGATAATATACGTATTTGGTACGACTTTGGATTTATGGTGCGGACTGCCGAGGAACGGTGGCCATATAATATATGTATTTGTGAAAGGGTCGAGACGGCGATTAGAGAGAGGGTGAATAGTTATTTTTAAAATTAATCGCGTCGGCTAACCGAAATAAATGCGAAATTAAAACTATCGGTCTAGTCAAGACTACACCCCTCTATCTATATTTTCTAGCACATTCCAAAGATACTAATTAAGCAACTAAGGTGCAGGGCTAGCTAGAGCTCTCCTAACCAATTCTAGGAGCAAGATCACACAAACCTATGCCACTAATACTTTAAGCAATAAGGGAGCTCCTACACATGCTAGTAAGCAAAAGCACAAAGCCACCTAAGCTCACTAGCAATGCTCAATAACAAGGCAACCAATGTCAAATTAGAGAGCGCAATTACTTAACTACACAAACTAAGCAATGTGACTAACAAGGTTACACAAACCAAATTAGCCACGCAAGGGAGCTACTTCTATGCTACACAAGCAAGAATGTAACTAGTAAGCTACATAAGCTAACTAATTACGAAAGCAACAACACAAGCTCAATGTATATGAAAGTAATTGAAAGCTTGTGTAACGGGGATGCAAACCAACGGGAAAAACAAGGTTGACACGATGATTTTTCTCCCGAGGTTCACGTGTTTGCCAACACGCTAGTCCCCGTTGTGTCGACCGCTCACTTGGTGGTTCGGCGGCTAACTGGCATCACCCGCCAAGCCCGCACGTCGGGCGCCGCAAGAACCTACCCCAAAAGTGAGGGTAGTTCAATGACACGCTTTACTAAAGTTGCTCTTCGCGGCTCCCGTGGGGTGAGCACAATGCCCCTCACAAAGCACTTCTCCGGAGCGCCGCACAAGCTTCTTGCGGGCTTCGATGGAGACCACCACCAAGCCGTCTAGGAGGTGGCAACCTCTAAGAGTAACAAGCACCACCGGCTTGCAACTCGATCACCTAGTGCCACTCGATGTAACCTCACGATGCAATCGCACTAGAATCGCTCACTCACACAATCGGATGATCACCATCAAGTATGTGTGAGAAGGAGGGCTCCCAAGCACTACTACACAAGCCACCAAGACTCTAGTGTGCTCAGCTCCCGGTCCAAGGCCGACCATGGCTTCTATTTATAACCCCACGAACAAATAGAGTCGTTACCCCTTCACTGGGCAAAAGTCGGGACGACCGGACGCTCCGGTCCGATCGACCGGACGCTGGACCTCAGCGTCCGGTCACGCGATACTCACCACGTGTCCCCTCCTTCAAATCGCTGTTCATCTGATCTCAACGGTCATCTGATGACCGGACACAGCAACTTCAACTGACCGGACGCTGAGCCCCGGCGTCCGGTGCGTTCAAAGAAGGTTCCATAAGCGA